AGACAACCCATTGTGTAGCTTTGTGCTTAACTTCAAACAAACAAACATTTGCCCCCCCCCAGTGGTACAGCGGTATATCTGCGTACTTACAACGCTAGAATCCGGGTTTCGATACCGTGATGGGCAGAGCACAGATAGCTCATTGTGTAGCTTTGTGCTTAATTACAAACAAACAAATAAACCTTAACTTTAGGCTCTCCAGTGGCACAGCGGAATGGCTGCGTACTTACAACGCTAGAATCCTGGTTTCGATACCGTGGTGGGCAAAGCACAGATAGCTCATTGTGTAGCTTTGTGCTTAATTACAAACAAACAAACATTTGCCCCCTCCAGTGGCACAGCGGAATGTCTGGCAGAGCACATATAGCCCATTGTGTAGCTTTGTGCTTAATTACAAACAAACAAATAAACCTTAACTTTATTAATATATCGAAGTAAAAAAATTACCATTTTTTCTTGTCATGGCGCTCAGGGAAATCAACAAATCGTAAGAATTGTACAAAGGTTTCTCGCGGTGTTTGAGAAAGAGCAGCAACTCGGTTTCAGGATTCGTGGGGGTAATCTCGATGTTAACAGCCGAATCCGCCTTGGCTACAATCAGCTGATGGTACACCATCTGCTCGTTCCATTTGATCTTTGGTGCAAAAAACGCCGGATCTGGAAGAGCCTAAAGAACAAACCAGACCAATAGATCTCTCCGCCAGATGGAGGTGTAATATTTATACCGTAGATTAATACAAATCGATATATATTACTTGTGTAATTAATATAATATCCTAATTCCTTGGAAACGAAGATATTTCTATTACATTACAATTTCTCTGTTACAAGTTTCTAAACTGTATAAATCTTTGTCAGCAGATTTTGTTTTTATTAAACTGGCTAGAAGATGTGTTTAATAATATCAACAACAACAACAAACATTAACTAGCTAGAAGATGTGTTTAATAATATCAACAACAACAAACATTAACTGGCTAGAAGATGTGTTTAATAATATCAACAACAACAAACATTAACTAGCTAGAAGATGTGTTTAATAATATCAACAACAACAAACATTAACTAGCTAGAAGATGTGTTTAATAATATCAACAACAACAAACATTAACTGGCTAGAAGATGTGTTTAATAATATCAACAACAACAAACATTAACTAGCTAGAAGATGTGTTTAATAATATCAACAACAACAACAAACATTAACTGGCTAGAAGATGTGTTTAATAATATCAACAACAACAAACATTAACTAGCTAGAAGATGTGTTTA